AATGCCTGGAGATAGTGGAGGGGCATAGGTCAAAAGTGCTCCTTACAGCTGGGCTGTTCAAAATCTGTTCCAGAAGAAATACTTGATGTGCTTCCCCCCTCCCCTGTTCAGCTTTCTGATTCAGTTTCCCTTGAAGATTGTTTTAGGAAACGTTGCAGAGATGACTTAGATTTTTCAAAGCGTTAACACAGAAATTTTTATCTTCAGAGTCTACACAGACTGCCTGCCTAATCTATCAGTGAAACTGGGGGCTTCTACTTCTGTGCACCCGCCCCAGAAACTTGCGCTTAGGAGCAGGCATGTTCATACAGGTGGGGGTGATACAAGGACATGTCTGTGAAGACGGAATAATAGGCAGATTTTTGCGAAACGTGTTCCTGTCAGTGCCTTGGAGCTGTTCAGAGAGTTTGTGTTTAGAAAAACAGTGCGGTTTGAAAAATTCTTTGCAGAGGAAAGACATCTGGCTATGCAGGTCTCCTACAGGTTGTGAACCCTCTGTACTTTAGGCCGCAAGAGACTGCAGGTCTTCTGTACCTACAAGGCACTGTTACCTCTCCTCGCTGCTCAGATCCCTCCCCATCCTCACACGGGGAGAGCTGCTGTCTCTGCCATTCGTTAATATTGTCACTGAGTGGGCTCCTTAGACCTGTTGGCATCTTCCTTTTACTGAACTGATAAAGCTGGTCTGAGGAGTGGAAATCCAGGGTGAAACAGTTGCAAACTTTGAGGGCTGAGTTGTCCCTGGTGCAGCTGTGCGGCAGGAGCACGTGCAGGGTTCTGTTTGTGAACGCGAGGATGCCCAGATCTATGCTCCCTAAGTTCATTTGTCTGGATTTTCTGCTGCTTGCTATCTTCTTGCAGAGTGTGAGAATAACAAATTCAAGAACTTTTACTTTCTTTTTGTTTTCTTTCCTTTCCTTTTTTTTTTTTTTGGCTTGTTTTCCACAAAATCTGCCTGCCTCAATTCTGCAGTCACCTGTGAGTGCAGTCCCAATGTAAGCACACAGTTTAACAGCGTATATATCTTGCTCTCTCCTAGTGATGCAGTGCTCAGCTTCGATAGATATCCTTTTCCTCTTGGATGGCTCCTACAGCATTGGCAAAGGAAGCTTTGAAAGGTCTAAGCACTTTGCAGGCAAACTCTGTGATGCCTTGGACATCAGTCCAGACAGGGTGAGTGTCAGGAATGTCTCATTTTAGTTTGAAGCAGCTTGATACCCTTTGTAAAGGCCAGTGATAATGCATTGGGTGAAATCCCAAAATTCAACCTCGCGGCGAGTGTGGGGTCAGAACATTTAGTTAAAAAGATACAGTGAAGGTTTATGAATTGGTGGGGCTCAATGGCACTTTGCAGCTCTTCACTAATTTAAACAGTTCCATTTGTTATTGAGAAAGGATGTAATCCCTCAGGTTAAAGAATATGATTTGGTTTTTTAAGTGATTTTTATTTTATTTTGGATGCTCAGAGGCAAATATAGAAAAAAGTTGGACATCTTTGTTAGTTTTTTTTTCTTCTGTTGAGCACAATTTGCCTCTGGGAAGTTGATCACCTCTCTGTACAGATGTAAATGATACAGTTTCTTTGTCCTGCTTCTCCTAGAAGATCTCTATTCCAAAATAAGCCCAAAAGGGAGGAAGGGAAGGATTTCATTGCAAGGCACTTGCCATGCTCTGATGTCATTTGGGGATCTGTACACCGCAGTAGGTCTCTGAGATGTTGCTGCACTCTCCACCTGGCACTGGGACTACAGTCTTCATGGCTGATGTGAGTGACTTGGAGTGGATGTTTTTACTCCTGTGAGATCTTCCATCACAATGTGGTTAAGAGTAGGTCACAGTTGGGTGCCCTACTCTTTTGTCCCTGCATCGCTCCCCTTCTCGGTGCAGCTGTAATTCTTTCCTCAATGAGAAACTGAATGCTTTCTCTCCCAGTAACCCTACAGGCACCATTGCCTCATGCCAGGGCTCCTGCCACTGAACGAAAGGGCCTCAGCATGGTATTTTTAAATACTGGTGGTCCACAGAGGCAATGTGGGACTGACCAGCTGGAACTTTAAGTTAGAGTCCGAGTAGGTGTTATTTACAGATACTCAATATAAAACAAACTAAAATAAATGGGCAGGTTCTTGTCCATTTCTGTTTTGGACCTTGGCTCAAATCAAAGTCTCATTTTGGGTGTTGAGCAATTGAAGGGATCGATAAGAGCTGCACTGTTACGGTAAGTGTCTTCCTGTCCATGGTCTGGGCACCCTCAGGTCTTACCCGCTCCCTGGAGCCAGCCTCTAGCCCCTCTGTGCCTGAATCAGCAAGTCCTGGGATATATCTAAGAGGATTTTAGGCCAGACCTGTTTGCAGTTCCAGCTGCGCATTCAGTCTCTCATGACACAGATTTGGGCATGATGAGGCAAGGTTTTACAGCCCCCTGCCACCCCTAGCCAGGGGCCTTGGAGTGGGTTGTAATGGTTGCTGGACTTCATTGCCTCTTGGAACCCCTCTGAATAAATGCCAGGTTGTTGGGGAAGGACATGGCAGGATGTGAGGTCTCTGTGCAGCAGGATGAGGAAGCTGAGCTGGGAGTGAGACTCGGAGTATGCTGGGGCTTTGAGGATCCTCCAGGCCATGTCTGATTCTTCAGAGGGGTCTAGGAGTGAAGGAGCAAGGGCCAAGTCTTGTCTTTGCTTTTGGTTCCCACAAAAGGGATGCTTAGACTTGCACCTAAAATCTCCTCTAGGCCAACTACTACCACTGTTCCAAGCCCTAAAACCAAATGCTGCTGCTTTGCCCCATACTGCAGGACTCAATTTCTTTTGGAAGTTGAAATCACCATTCCACCCATCACTTTCTCTTCAAATAAATCTTTCAGCCTTTGGCTCTCAGGTAACATCTACATAACGTATGAGGCTTTCCACAGGCTGGGTGATGATGGTAGTGAGTCAAAGTGCGTGTATGAGGCGTTGACAGATGTTAGGTGACTCAGGTTAAATGAATATTCCCCCTTTTTTTTTTTTTTGGCACATAGTAAACTAACTGAAAGTAGATACTTGCAACTAGGAAACAACTGCAATGCAGACTTAGGCAAATGTAGAATTTGGGCATTTGATATTTGCAAGTTTTTGAGTGAGTTTGTTTTTTTTTAAATACCATCCTCTGTTGTCCCTTCCCCTAATCTTTCTGTTAATTCTCATGGAGATAGGACCTAAGCCCAAACTCAGTACCCTTTTCATCTCTGACCATGTCACATTCCATAAAACTTCTTGTAAGACTTGAGTGAAATATTTTGGATGTCCTGCTCCGTACAGGTTATTTACTCTGTATATTTACATTTTTCAGGCATTTTCAAATAGAGAAAATGTTTTCAGAGGAAGCAGTGGAAAAATAATTGCCTTGTGTTGCCTACTGTGCTCAATGCCAGAGGGGGCTCCTTTTCATAATGGAAATATTTACATGCATAGTGCCTAAATTATTTGGTGTAAAAAGTATTATTTATAAACTTATTACTGTCCTTGAGGCTACTAGTTCCTTTGAATGGATAAATACAGGTCTTGAGCTTGCCTGTAACTGCAGCAGAGGTTCCCGTGATGTTTGCAGATGGACTTTTTTGCCTTATATGTAGTCTGAATAAGCAAGTCTGTGGTGTGAAGAAGTCAATTGAAAATGCCAGTAGCTCAAAGTGCAGGACAGTGTTTGTCTCAAAACGATTTAGTGTTCCCAAATCTGTAAGTTGATCAAAAGAGCAAAACTCTCCCAGGGACCTTTCTTTCATACTCTTTAACCTCTTCTTTTAGGTCCGCGTGGGAATGTTACAGTTTAGCTCAACTCCTCACCTTGAATTCCCACTGGATTCGTATCTAACTAAACAAGAAGTGAAAGAGAGAATTAAGAAGACTGTATTCAGGTTAGCTTATTTTACAGCTCTTCTTTTTTGGGGTTGTGAATGGTCTTTAGCATGAGAGCTTTTTGAGGTCTGAACATTTCCACCAACGTGATATCCCCAGGAAGGGAGCTGAATGAGCAGCATGTGTCCGTGAGATCTTTAATCCACAATCTGCTAAAAAATACATCCTGGTCTATTTTTGTTTGTGAAGGTTGATATGCTGTGCAAAGAAAGTTTTCAGTGTCCCACTATAATGACAGCATAATGACGGATTAATGACAGCATAGGGGAGTCTTCCATACCTTTTCTGGCAGATTTTTCTGGCCCTTCATGCAAGGATGTGGGTTATATCCTTCCTCCAGCTGACAGAGAAGAGCTAGGCCAGCTTCCCCCAACAGAGCTCTTCAGGAGTGCTTCTCAGTCATTTCTGGGATTACTCATGAGTGACATACTCACAGATTCAGTGAGTTGGCCTTTTAGAGGGAAAACTAGGTGTGGCATTTTCACATGGCTGAGCGGAGGCAGAGCAATGTGTATTTTTGTTTTTCAGTGGTTACATCCTCCTTTGTCCTATGTGGTAGTGAAGAACTGCTAGTTCCCTTGAAATCTGTGCCTGTGTTTCTGCTAAATTCATGAGGATCAGATTTTCAGCCAGAAGCCTTTTTTCTTCACAAATCTTGAGACTTGGATGTCTCCCCATGACCCCAGGAAATGGTGCCAGAAGGCCAAAGAAACAGTGTCTCTGAGCTTCTCAAAATCCAAATTTTTTTTATCTCTGAGAAATACATTTGGATCTACAAAGGACCTGACAACCATCCCAAGTAACACCTAACGTTTTGGTGATAGACGAGCTACCAGTACAGCCTGCAAGTGCCTGTCCTTTCTTCTGATGTTCTGCCTTAGGGTTAAGGGTTAGCTCAGCATTTCTCAGTGGATGTCTGCTGCTCTCAGCATAATGTACATATTGCAGGTAAATTTGTCCACTTCTGACTTTTTCAAGCAAGATTGATTGACTGGAGTTTTTTGCATTGCTTTTGATAACAGTTTTTCAAATCAAGAAAACCTCTTGTATACTGTTGCAGAGAAATCTTATCAGAAAACAAGGTACACTCCTATTTCTTTGGCTACTTAAAAGTCTATGAGAGCAGAGAAAGTGAAGCAGTGTTCAGTATCTGGCACTGAAATTACTTGATGACAACAGATGGATGCTAAAAGTCGAATAGAAATAATGACCTTGCGCTCAGCTGTTTCATCTAGTTTAAATGAAAAGCTGACATTTCAAAGTAGATAAAATTGCTATGGATGGATTGCAGGCATTTGGCTTCTGAAAAAAGAGCGTGTTGGACGTTTTGGTTGAAAGCCTCCTCCACGTGATTCCGATGAGCCTTGTTTTTGCCAGTGAGGCATTTCCTGAATTAAGTGCTCTGCTCTGGGCTCGGAGTTGTGAGCGCTTGAAAGAATGCATTACCAGACTGAAGTGAAGCTTTTATGATTCATTCTGAGTCAGGTAATCTGTCTATTTGTAAATCTCATCCACCTCTGTTTGTAAATCTCATCCAAATAGCTTTTGAATCCGTTGGCCAGTTTCAACCAAATTTGGCAGTTATCTCGGAAGATAAGTTTCTTACAAATTCATTTATTGCAAGTCTGTGGCTGGTTACAGGATAGAAACTTTCTTAGTGCTCTTTCTGAGGAAAGGCAGCAGGCAAAGCCCTCATCTCCTCTGGTATCAGAACACCCTTACTGGAGGAAGGCCTTAAACATACATTCACTGTGTCAAAAGCCAGTGAAACTCCAAATACAAATCCACAAGAAACTGAATTCAATAAACTTTGGGGCATAGAGACTATTTATTAACTTTCTTTAATCCTCAAGACTCCCATGAGCACAGGGTATTGAGTTCATCAAGATGTAGTCATCAAACCGAATACGTACAGTACACTTTCCCTCATGCACACCACTTGTCACTAAAGCATCTCAATATTTAATGCCTTAACCTGTATAAATAAACATTACAACGCACCTGCAACTTAAATGGATAACAATATCATTGTACGCATACAAGGGAGGCTGAGTTGACTTGTAGGTTTTGGAGGGATAAGGGGACTTTCCTGTCATCCAGCTACCTTCAGAAGTCAACCAAAAGGGTTACACAGTCCTTTCTGCATCAAAACCAGATCTTGAAGCTGTTGAGATCATGCCCTAAACTGGGGTCACCAGTTGCCTGAGATGGAGTGTGCCAGTTTACCCAGCCTGGAATCCAGTTCGGAATCCCAGGAAAAGAAATGCCACACACAACAAGACTGATAACAAGACTTCTTTAGCTATAGCAATCAACTGATGAAATCTCTGCTAGTAAGCATTTGAAACACAGCACAGTATTCATTGGATATGGACAGCATGGACAGAAATGGAAACATGTTGATAGCTACTGACATTTGGTCAGAGAAAAACCTGGCTTCTGGACTGTGAACAAAGTCCCTGAGTTTATTTTGAAATGGTGGAGCACAGAGAAGGACATACCTTAAGAAGTTCAAAGTGAAAGGGCCTGGCAGGTACTGAATTAAAAAGCTTTTGAGAAAATCACGAGGGTAAACACAAAAGAACAAATTTGGGTATGATCAAATGTTTTCATAGAACAAGCAAATGAGCTGTTAAAGCAAAGGAAAGATGCTCAGAGAGCAAAGGGGAGGGTGTTTGCATCAGCACAGCTGAAGGGGAACATTAGGCCTCCAAGAAAGGAATGATACTTCCTTTTTGTTTCCCCTTACTTGCTTTGGATGAAGATAAAAACCTAAAAGGCAATCACAGGAAATGATTTATAGCACAACTCCTTGGACAGAATTAGAAGACAGGTGGTAATGTTTCCTCTGATCTAGCGGCTTAATTATGACAAGGTCTGGAACATGTTCCCAGTGGGCTGGGCTTTCTCTGGTATCAAATGTTCAATCAAAGATGGCATGTTACAGAGCTCTCACATTGTGCAGTTGGAGAACTACCAAGAAAAGAAGAGGGAGATTCATGTCTACTCAGGATATAGCCCTCTGAGATAAACCATTGCAAATGTTTAACCCTCCAGCAACAAAAAAGACTTAATTGCTGTAGGCAGGGGTTGACTACAACAGCTGAAGAACTTCAAGTGCAGATTGCCCTTAATTTTTTACAGGGGATGAGATGCTTTTGCCCAGTGTGTTGTGTTGCAGTGAGGTCTTAGTCTAGTGATGGCCAATTTGTGGCTCCTGAACCACGTGGGGAATGCCAGTGGTTGAACTGAAGCTCCAATCGGTTGTGTCAAGTGGCTGGTAGCAGGGCTAGCTGAGTAGTCTAAGTATCTGAGCACAGGAGGAAGCTGGTGAAATCAGCTCCAGCTGATTCCCCAAGTCACCTTGGGATCCAGCTGCTCAGTCCACCAAACCTCACCCTGCAAACAAGGGTAAGACCATAGTCATGAGCCATAGGCAGGAGCCTAGGAACCATCCCCTGCCTCCTCTCTGGGGTCTTTGTCAGGTTACTTATGGCTCTACCTTAAATAAGTCTTTGCTGTTTGACTCATAATGTGATCTCTCCTGCCTGCCTCAGCCTGGCAGAGATTGTCATTTCATATAGGTTGCATATCGGCACAAAGTGCTTTTCCCTGGAGGGAAAAGAGCGGTCACTCTGGCTGCAGAGTGCACCCAAGACACAGAGCAGCTCTCTGCAAGCAGGCAGGGTTACAGCCAGCATCTCTGCACCATGCTAGGGTCTCTTTGGTAACAGCACAGTGGATGTGAACTGGGAAGGAGCCCCTCTTTGCAGAGACTGGTGAAAATAAAGCAAAAGGAATAAAAAGGGGAGTGTTACGTTTACAACAAAGATCCAGGAGGGGAAGGACAAGTTTTGGTTATTTGCATGAGCTGCACCATTTTTGCTGGTTGTTATCTCTTGATAGTAAGCTCTGTATGGCAGGGACCATCCTTCTCCTGTGCTTATAAGTCTTAACTTCAAATGACTGTTACAGACAACCACTCAAGACTGGGCCCCATGTTCTAGGTACTGTGAAAAGCACTTTGTGCCGATATGCAACCTACCTCTCAGATAGCCAGCTCCCCTCACACTCAGCAAATCTTATTCTTTAATCATCTCAAAAAAATATTAGTATCTTTGACCAACAGCATTCTCTGGCAAGCCGTGCCTTATTTTCTACTAAGATTGCATTCAAGGTTCCTTTTCCTTGGGAGTTATTGCACAGCTGCAAGGCTTAAAGTCTGCCATTCCCTAATTCTTAGCCATAGCCCATTTTGCCATGTAATTTATACCACCACTGGAATATGCTCCCTTTGCACCTGGGTCTTGGTGTGAGTTTAATACTTTGCTTCTGTGAGGATAGCTGAATGTTAAACTAATTGCTTTCTACCTCAGAAATTTCCCTTCCCCATGGCAGAATTCAAGGACTGTCAAAATATTGAGGCAGCTGGCTCCTTGCATCTCCAGGAACCGCTTTTGTAGGATTACGCTAGAGGGGGAGCAGATGGCTTTGTGGGGAGGAGCCTGGGTTCAGCTCTCAAAACTGCCTCAGTTATCTTTGGTCCAAGATGACACACTTAGTTTTTCTATTTTCAGAAGTCAGTTTACACACGCTTCCATCCAGCCCCCGGGCCACCTTCTCATCAGAACAAAGCCCATCAATCAGCCCTACAGTGTGGGTGGGTATGCGTAGATTTTCAGAAGACCTTGTCTGCAGCTTTTAAAAGTCTGGCCTTTCATCTCTTGGTATCCCATTTATTTTGTAAGCAAAGGATGGCCGGACTATCTTCATCCTGCTCTCTGAGTTGCATGTGTTGGAATAAATTTTTCAGAGCAGAGGCTCCCCTCTGCTCCGTGGTAGTCCAGACCCCAGCCCAGAGGGTGCTCCCAGTTACGTCCAGGACTTCAGGACAACACCACGGTGCGGGCATTATGGTCACTTTGGTGTCTAAGCTGGAAATGAACTGAAGTGGATAATTTATTCTGTGTATTTAATAGCCTTACCCTTCCAGGTGATCCAGTCTCCAAAATTCAGGTGGCAGGAATCAGAGAACAGGATGGCAGGCCAAAGTAGGGTACTGGGTCTACTGGTGCCTACACCAGCAGCTGGTATGTCTTCCCTATCATACCAGTGTTGCTGGCGAGCAAGCTAGCGGATGAGGGTATTGTTTTTGATTGAGTTTAGCTTGGATTTAGAGAACTCGAACATCAGGTGGCTCTTCTTAAGGTTTACTTTGCTAGCATAAAAGGTACTGCTGAAGCCCTGAAGAAAGAATGCCTTGTATTTGGTCCTCCTGACTTCCCAGGGATATGCTAAGAAGCTCTCAGCATTTGCATTTTCAGGAGCTTTATTACAGAACGAACAAGTGACTTTTTGTGGAAATCAAATTAACTAGAGATTAACTGCAGACTCCTGACCAAGTTACAGGCTGGAACATATAGCTCCCCTACCCTGACTATTTGTCTGAGAATGGCAGAGAAACTCATGGAGGGAAAGCGACTGTAGGCAACAGGAGTGTATGACCCATTTATACGTTGGGAGAAAGAAAAACGTTTTGAGATGCTAGTCTTGTTCATTTTGTCCATTTGTACTGTATTTCTGGTTTATTTCCAACGGGACTACAAGGCGTTGGTTGCTAACCAGCTGTTCCACACAACTCTTAAAGAAATGACTGTGTCCTTCAGATGGAGAAACTGAAGCAATCAAGTCATTTGCCCAAGATATAAATAACATTCCAATGTCCTACAGCTCAGTTTCCTGTTTGAGGAGTCTTCTGGAAACAACTATCAGTTGAAGAAGGGGGATGTAAGGAGAGGTAGATGGAACATATGGATGGGAAGATGACAAGAATGACAGCATTAGGCAACTCTGGATGTGTTGTGTGGCAACGTGCAGAAATAGGCTAAGTTCCCTGCTACCAGATGGTAGAATTTAGAAATCAAACGGTAAATTCAGTAACCGGAGAAAAGTTTGATTCTGCTTTTCCAACTCTATCTCACTTCTTTTTAGAGGTGGGAGCACAGACACAGGTTTGGCTCTGAAATACATTCTCCGCAAGGGATTCCCTGGTGGCAGAAACTCGACTGTCCCTGAAATCCTCATCATCCTTTCAGATGGGAAGTCCCATGGCAACACTGAAATACCTGCAACACAGGTGAAGAAGAGGGGGACCACAGTTTTCGCAGTGGGAATCAAGTTTCCAAGGTAGGAAACTCTCTCGCAGAGTTGAAAATGGAGGTCCAGCTAACCAAATGGCAAGACCTGGTCAGTGAGAGATGGTGGGAGAGGTCTTGAGCTAGACGTGAATTTTTGGGAAGAGAAAAGGGGAATTTGGGGTGTAACACAGGAGAGGAGAGGCACTAATCTAGTGAGTAGCACAGAAGGACCAGAGTTGGTAAAGGAAGCTCTTCTATGATTAGAGCTATGCTACTGTTGTAAGACTGAACATGCCAGAGTCTTGAAACTGTTTGAAGTGTGTCATATTTTTGTATCAGCTCTCTGTTTGCTGCACGGGGTTTGTTTTGATGCTTAGTACCTTGGGTATGACTAAGGGTCTCTTTATACAAATTGTTGAAGTCCCCTTCGTTGGCAGGTGGGAGGAGCTGCATGCACTGGCTAGCAAGCCCACTGAGCAGCACGTGCTTTTCGCTGGAGATGCTGCTGATGCTGCCAACGGCTTTTACAGCACCCTCACTGCCTCTACTGTCTGCAACGCCCCGTCTCCAGGTAACCCCCCGTTCTGCCTTCACCTTCAAACCTGCTTTTTGAAATCTGACCGTGTCTCTGAGTAAGAAAAGGTGAAGCGGTGTTGGAAATACTTGTCTAGACTCAGGAAGGCTGAAATCCCTGTGTTGGAGCAAATAAATTGGAGGAGCCAGGTAGCATATAGCTGCTCTGCAGACTGTGTTGTGACACCAAACGAACCAGGTCACCTCTAACTGAACTTATAGGGGAATTAGTAGGTGTTGCACTCTGAGATAATCTGTTTCTGGTACCCAAATGGGATGGCTTGCTTGCCAACTACCTCTTCTGCAAGCTGCAGGACCCTAAATCTTTCTTGATTCACCCTTGAAAATGAGAATATTGGTCCTTGCTCATGTCATGGATGGTAAAGGGATAAACACAGTCATCTTAAACCTTCTGAGGGACTTGGCTATGTAATAAGGGAAGGCCACTGAGGGCTCATAAGAGATAGTAAAGTTACCCCCATGGGTCCTAGAGTGATCCAGAGGTAGAAGAAAGCTGAGAGCATGAATGCCTAAGGCAGTGGTGGAGCCTGAACTCAGCGGTGCAAGTTTTACACTGAAGCAAAGAAGGCTAAAGAGTGAGTACCCCAGAAGGCGGGGTAGGCTGGCAAGTTTGTCGTTCTCCTCTGGCGTCTCACAGAGGGCTCTTGTTGAGCTGTCTCGTATGCTTGTTGGCGGGAGCGTGAGGAAAACTAACCTGGTTGTAAAAATGGTGCTCCACTCCCTCATAAACTTCGTACTTTGAGGCAATTGTTTTGGAATTAGATTTTCTTTTTGCTACAGGCTGCAAAATTGAATCCCATCCTTGTGAACGCAAGACCCTCGAGACTGTGAAAGAGCTGGCTGGAAACTACGTATGTTGGAAAGGTTCAAAGCAGCAAAAGGCAGTGCATGCTTCACTGTGCCCGTTTTACAGGTGAGATGGGCATGCATATCTCTAAAAGTGAGCAGGGCAGAGAGAAGTAAAAGATAGTAATGAGGCTTATACCTGACCGTGACTCTTTACTGAGATAAAAAGCCCTAGGAAGACTGAAGGAAACACAGTGTGTAGGCCTAGGAAGGGGCAATCCCTGCTCTGACAGCTGGCCAATCTTAGAGGCGAAGGGTAAGCTGAGGAGCTGAGACACAGAAGCAGAAAATGATTTCCCCAAGAGGCCAAAGAAGTGAGAAATGGAATTGGGGTTATGTTTCATGCCTGTGGAACCAGGACGCTTTGAGGCAAGCGCCCTGGCATACGTGTTTTGTTACCTATTCTGTGCCACAGGGGGTTTCTAGGTCTGGCTTTCTGTGCTGGTGCTTGCTCCATTTTCATCCATGCATCCTTTTTTCCTTTCAAGGAAGCCCTTTCCTCTGTTTGGCTGGTGCGAGATGCTTGGGAAGGACTGTCCTATGGAAAAGCTTTAATCATTGGCAGAAAATAACCTCCACTCATAGGGTGGCACAGCTGGAAGCCCACAGAGCATGTCAGGCTTTTCGAATATCCTCACTGCAGTCGGTACAGCAGGAGAAATGCTTTTAAAATGACCTGTGAAGGGAAAGGCAGTTTTGTGCTCTTTTTGCTCACAGCTGATCAGAAGAGCTGAGTGAACCTGGTGCTGTACAGAAACTGGCAGGGGTGGGAGGAGGGTATTCCTCTTTTGAAGAGATGCCTCATTTGCTTGTTTTAATACCAGGCAGTCAGATGCATATCTGAAAAGTGGTATAGATTTGGGCTGTGCATTGATGGCCTGCTGGATACTGGGGGATGACTGTATGGACAATTTCAGACGTGTCTGAATGCCTGTGAGAATTTCCAAAATATGTGTACCTCAGAGTCATCGCTGCAGCAGAGCAGCCCTTGGCTTGCTTGTGGCATCCCAAAAGTGATGGTTTTACCCACAGCTGCGATGAATTTGAAACTAGAGCACTGGAAAATTAGTAGCATGCAGAAGCTGCAGGTATTAGAGAAAAAGAAACCTGGTTCCCTGGGATGAGAATTTAAAGCAGAAATCATCTCGCTGTCTGGAAGCACCGCTGGTTTTTACCTTCTTACACGTGGCAAACACACACTCTTGCTTTAGAATTGTTTTTCATGTCACCTTAAGTCAGGGAAATAATAGTGGAAGCTGAAAAATCCCACTGGAAAGCACAGCTGAGAATTTCTTCCCGGTTTAAACTTTGCTTGTCCACTAGCCATTACAGTTGTATCAGTTGGAAGCCAGAATTAACATTGAATAAGAAATTCTGACCACTGTAAAGTTTTCTTTTCATTCCAAATTAGCGCAAAAAGCTTAAAACCTCTATAGCAAATAAAAAAAATCATTTGGAGCCATTGAAACACATCTGTAATATTTAAATGTAAAATGTTAAAGTAAAATTCAAAAGCAAAAGAATTTGATGAAATCATATTTTTTCTTTTGCCGTCCCACTCAGAATAGACATTTTCTTATGAAATATTTGTTTTGAAAAATTACCTTTTCCAGGGAAAACTCTTCCCATTGAAAACTCAGTGAGGTCAGCCTTGAAAATAACTTGTTAATCTTTATGTTCATGGTAGGTTTTATTCTCCTGTTTATTATTAATCTTCCTATTTCAGATGGAAGAGAGTCTTGATAAAACACCCATCCAGATGCTTCCGAACAGTATGTCCAGGTAGGACTTACTTTTTTTGACTTTTTTTTTTTTTTTTTTTACAATACAGAAGAAGTAATAAATAATGAATAAAAAGATGGGATTTTACTCTCACTTCTAAAAATGCTGCTCCTAAGTGAGGGATTGTGATCTGTAACACGAAGTTGATATTACATCATAGTTTGTTGTGTCACTGTTATTTATGACCATAATTCTTCTGGATTAAAATATCTCCCCATGGTTTGTCCTGCCACTTGAGGAGCTGTTCACTCCTGACTAGCTCATGTTCCTGGTGACCAAGGCTCCTACGGCTCCCTGATGTCTGCAGGGAGTTAATGTTGTCCAGCTGAGGGACTGTGGGATGAGATGCCTCCATCCATTCACTTGGTACTGTGGGCATCATCAGTTTAGCAGGGAACCTGACATTTAGTAATTATCAGCCTCTTTTTTGTGACTGCACGGAAATACTTACACTCTTTGAGTTCACAGTTGACCCCCTCTCCTTGCTTTTTCAAATGATAGTGGCTTTATCTTCTTTGACAGTACCTCCTTCGTTAAGGCTCCGTGTTTAATCCCCTGCTTTGGAGAAGATACACAGTTTCTTTTCTCTTGCAGACTTCTGTTGCCATGAACATAGTGTATGAATTAAAGGTTGGTTATTGAGAATGAAATGGATCACTTCAGAATTATTCTACTTATGCCATTAACATATGGCTCTAGAAGCATATGTTAGGGTATGCCCAGAATAGGGTAGGAGGAAAAATGTTCAGTAACGGTGCAAGAAACAATCAGAAACATGGCTTTTGTCAGGAAGTGCTGAATGCCTGAAACCAAACATCCTGTGAAATTCAGTCAAGTGCAAGAAGGAATTTTGGTGAACTCTTGGGCTTCCTGCCAGGCAGCTTGGATACTTCGCCCTGCAGGCTCTCTGCCAGCCTGGGCCGGCAGTCTCCCCCAGTGGCACCATGCCTGGGCATGAGGGCTCCCTGGTGTCAAACCAGCGCTCTCAGGACCCCAGTTTCCTTCTCCCAGGAACCTAGACTTGAGCCAGGATCCAGACTCCATTGGGAAGCCCTAAAATGGCCAGGTAGCATCTGCCATCCTAGTATACTGTTATGTAGTGTTATCCCGTGATACAGACTATTATTGACTTTCCAGATGCCTGAGCTGCTTTCTCCTGGCAGGCAGCAGGCAGGTCTTCTGGGACGGACAGAGGCCCCCACTGCCGAGGCAGACAGCAAGATGGGCTCGGGGAGGGTTGTGTTCTTCTGCACCAATTCACGCGAAATCTTGAATTACAGCTGATAACATCAAAGAATCTTCAAAATAATAGAAAATAACCAAGCTTTGAGTAAAATGAGGATAAAGGAGAGAAGGTTTGTGTGTGCCTCTCGTTACACTGCTGTCACTAATTTTAAATAGCAGCAGCTTGTCAAACTGGATTGACTCAGGTGGTGCTACATTTAAGCATGAGCCTTTAAGGAGCCAGCTTGCTTTATTCTGAGTGAAACTGAACATTTCAGTGATGCTATTCCCATGTGCCAAACACCATGACCAGAACTGTTTTACCTTAACTCAGTTTTTGTAGGGTTTGGAACAATGTATTTTGCTTTAAAAAATCTGTGGTTTACACCTTTTTAAAAATTTAAAGATCATAGAATCCCATATCCCTTCAAGTTTTGACATTTGAATTCAAAATTTGGTTCGGTTTCTCAGGGAATGTCTTAGAGAAGTCAAACGTTAAAGAAAAATACAATATGCTGAACCTGCCAACCCTTAATGATGCAAATGCACCTTGTCCAAACAAAATATGAGCAAACAAAATTTGTCCTTGTCCAAACAAAATATCAAGAAACCAAGTTCTGGTTCCTACTTTGTTAATGTAAATCTAGAAGAGCTGCATTAACTTAAGTAATTATTCTATATTTGCAGAATGTAACTTCACTGGCATTATTCCAAAACAGATGAAGTAAGGTCAGAGTCTGACTTGTTTTCTTCACAGCTGTCTATCTGAGAGCCATCCCACACTGTGAGGTGGACAGTGTTGAGGAGCAGACAGTGAACTGGAACAGGGCTATCAAATAGCACTTGCTATACAGACTCCTTAAATGGCTGGAGCTGCCTGTATGGGGGATGGATTCATTCAGGTCAAGCAAGTTAAGTTTAAAAAGTTACTTAATGTGATTTGTCTTTTGCAAATGCACTCTAGCAAATCTACAGAAACCTGACAATTTTGCTTTGCCATCTGTTACCTGCACAGAGAAATGCCTGGAGACCTACCAATGACAATGACATTGCCTTGGAGTTGACTGAGGGCGCACACAGCCCTGCATATGCTCAACTCTGCCCATGATGGGCTGAAGTGTGAGCCCTTTTCGATTTATGACAATGTTCATGCTGAAACATGAACATTAGGATGGGAAGGGACACATTCCCTGCTGACTCGCTGTCTTTTCTGTCCCTGATCCCATTTAGACCCTTGTGACTCCCAGCCATGTCAGAACGGGGGTACCTGTGTCCCAGAGGGACTAGACAAATACCACTGCCTGTGCCCAGTGGGGTACGGAGGAGACTTCCACTGCGGTAGGTGTGAAACCTGCATTCTCTCTCATTCCTTCTCGTTTGTGTCCTGCCTTTATAGTGCCCATTGCACTGCCATACAGATGGTTGGGGTTAGGCTGTAGCCTGCCTTTGGGCTTTATTCCAGCATACTGGCTGAGTTTTCTCTCCCTTTGGTTTAACATCACTGACTAGTCGCTGACAGGCCCGGTGACTCCAACTTGCTGCCTACAAATCTTATGGATATGGGGAGCACCTCTACAGAAAGTCTCCCCCTAGTGTGTCTAACTTCATTTCTGAACACAAGCACCACAGGAGCAGCAAAACAAACAGACTGGGAGAGATGCAGCAAAAGGGTATGTGTTGGCTCCCCTTCTGCACACACCAGCCCAGAAGGGCCTCCAGATTTGGGGATTCAGTACGAGAAACCTAAGAAGTTCCTATCTTAAGAAAATGCTGAGCACTTACTTCCCCTCAAATCAAGGCCCTTTAAATGGTCTCAGATTGTATCAGATGAGGACTCTCTCCTTTCTCCATGATATCCTGACACTCTGAGTGATCTCCCCAGAATACTAGAAGAGCAGAGTTTTCCATTTGAAATACCAGGAATCCCCTAAATACTTCCTGTCTCTTAAGAGGCTTATGTGGCATCTGACCAAAATAAAGAGCATTCCTGGCACAGCTGTCCTCCAGCTCATGCAATGCCTGGCAAACCATTTAGCTCGCTAGGCAGAACAGGCCTTCACCATGTCACAGCACTTCCAGCAGGCCCCAGCTGAGATGCCCAGCGTGCTTGCCTTTTTGCCCTGTGTACAACGATTTACTCTCTCCCTTTTCAGCACCAAAGCTGAGCCTTGAGTGCAGTGTGGATCTTCTTTTCCTGATGGACAGCTCGGCGGGGATCATGCTGGAGGGATTCCTGCGTTTCAAGGCGTTCCTAAAGAGGTTCCTCCAAGCCGTGATGGGCTGGGACTCACCAATGAATGTGGGAGTGGCCCTGTACGATACTGACGTCAGGATACCCATTGAAGTGGGGCAACACAAGGATATGGTCGGTCTCATGAGGAGTATTGAGGCTTTGAATTTCAGTGGAGGAGAAACTCTGACAGGCAGAGCCCTGCGGTACGTTGCACAGCATGGCTTTAGGAGCACCCCGGTCTTTGCAGATGTGCAGGATGATCTCCCACGGGTGGTTGTCTTGCTCACTGACTCCAAGTCTCAAGATCCAGTGGCAGAAGCAGCTAAGTATGCAAGGGACCAAGGTCTCTTCCTGATCAGCATAGGCAGCAGCTTCCTGAGAGCAGAGCTGGTTGAGGTGACTGGCAATCCAAAGCAGACAATCATCTACTCCAACCCCCAGGATCTGTTCAACAAGATCCCAGAGCTGCAGAAAAGCATCTGCAGCATAGACAATCCTGAAGGTAAGGAAGGCTGTGGTGTGTGCACTGTGGGAGAATTTTGTCAAATCACAAGCAGGTGTTTCTAAACTCTGCTGAGGAGAAGGTAAAAAAACTAAATGTCTTTGTTTCCCTTGTGTTAATCATGGATCTAGGGACTAAATTTCCATTGCTGCCTTTTATGATGGAGCTGTATCTGTTAGTGATAAAGTATCATAGATTGCCCTTCACAGTTAATGATCGGCAACAATGAATTTTGCCTAGCATTTGCCCCACACCTGGTTGGGGTTTTTTTATTTATTTTTTTTATTTTTTGCTCAAAAAGGAGTATATATGTTCTGAAAAATACAATGTTTGCACTCTTTAATCCAGGCTGCCAGGCTCAGTCCCTCGATTTGGTGTTTGCAGTGGATGCTTCCGCTGGGGTTGGCCTGGAGAATTTCCTGCAGCTGAGAGACTTTGTCAGGAGCAGCTCTTTCCACTTCAGCATCAACCGGGATGTCACCCAAATTGGCCTTGTGGTTTATGGCAGCAAAGCTCACACAGCGTTCGCGCTGGACACCCACACTAGCAATTCAGCTCTTCTCCGAGCCATTGACCAGCTGCCCTTCCTTGGAGGCTCAACCTCTCCTGGCAGTGCCTTGCTGCATATTTATGGTGATGTGATGACTGTGCAGAAAGGAGCAAGGCCTGGTGTCCACAAGGCGGTGGTGATGCTCACGAAAGGAGGTGGCATGGAGGACGCAGCTTCCCCAGCTCGGCAGCTGAGGAACAATGGCATCTTGGTGTTTGTGGTTGTCATTGGAGATGCACAGAGGGACATGCTGCTGAGGGTTGCTGGGTCTCCCAACTACCTAGTCCACATCTCCTCCTACGAAGACCTGCAGCATTATGAAGACCTTATCATTGAAAGAATCTGCGAAGGTAAGAATGTCCCATCCTCACTGCCTACACTGCTGCCACTAGCTGGTTGTAAACCTTGTGAAACAGGAGTAGAGGGGACTTTCTTTTGTAACCCTTGTGATCATAGATTTTCTGGTGCTTTATAGAGCAAGTTTGATATTATCATTTACATTTTACAGATGGGGAATCCATGGCATAGATATCTGGTGACTGCCTAAAACAGTCCTGTAGCAGTAGGAACCGGCTTTCCTAAGATCCAGGCTCCATGTGACTGACTCTTCCCAGGCCTGTCAGGTCTAGGTTCTGCATTCACTGGAAGTGCGAGAAGTTTGTTTGTTTTCTGATATTACTTTAAACCTATATAGTTTGCTGTGCATTATTGTATCCCATGCAGTGTTGTTAGGAGGTTTAAGGGGATACGTTTCCACAGCTAATGGTGTTGGTTACAGGAGTAAGGGTTCTGCTGCCTCCTTCAACAGGTTTGTGCTTGGGTGTTTGCAAAGGGATGGATCTGAAACTGCTCCTTCTGCCTTATCACTCCTACTTCTGCTTAGTGTCCCATTCATGAAGTTTTCATGTAGGCCTTGGATTTAATCCTAAAAGCGGAATCTGTCTGACCCTGAAGCCTGCAGACTGTTAAGTAAATTGAGATCCTGAGACAACTTGTGATTAGTTTTGTTTGCAGGACCTTATTCTTATCTCCAAAGCATTCAAGAGGTCAGAGGTTTTTTACTCATGTTTGTGCTAAAAAAGTGCATTTTCTTCAAGGCTGCAAGTCCTGAGGACCTGTCCTCCACTGCAAAAAAAATTGCGACTGAAATCAAGTTTGAAACACTTATGTGCTAAGTGTAAGTGCTTTTGTTTGATTTAAGCGTGCTTTTCAGAAAGGTAAACAGTCCTGCTTTGCAGACATGAGTGGTGGAGAAAGTGCTTCTAGTGGCTTGTTACCCCAGCTAGTCTCTCCCCACTTAAAAAATCTACGTCTTATTTCTCATTCAAAATAGCCCAAGTTTAATATCTAGCTATTTAGTCTTGTTAGGTTTTAGCCCATGTGTAAGATAAATGAAACGACAAGCTGAACTGTGCTGTGAGTTACAGCACAAAGATCCTTTTTATCTTTTGGCCTGACCCTGGCTCTTTTAGGGTTAGAAAGAACTAGAGAACTGTCTCTTCTGAATGAGAAGTCAGCCTCCCGGCAGACCTTTGCAGACAGTGTCTACCTTGAGCTTTTCAGTGTGCTTCTATTGCAAGGGTATTTTCAGCTGTGTTATTATAAAAACAATCTACTGTTCCATGAAATTAACCACAAGGCCATGGATGAAGGGAAAG